CAATTCAACTCTTCATCCCCTCCGCATCCACGACTATCCCCTTCCCATCTATCCTCTTTTCCTCATCCATTCTCCCCTTTCTATCCATCCCCTTCTTTTCACCTAGTCTCTCTCCCTCTCCCTTATTCACCTAGTCTCCCCTCTCCCTTATTCATCTCCCTCCACCTCCCTCCATTCCCCCCAAACCTCCATTCCCCCCAACCCCCCAAATCCCCAACCCTCCAAATCCAACTATCCCACTACCTATCCAGAAAACAACTCTTCCTCCATTTATCACAATACATAATCCATTCATCACATTACATAATTTGCACTTGAAAATCTACATCTACATCTACATCTACAGATACCCTCCTTCGCCTTCAGATATCTTCATCCCCGAATATCCAAATATCTTGTTATACCTAGGTACTAACAGCTAACATTCCATCCTCTCATCACCTCATTCCCCATCTACAGTGAATCAATAACAGCTCACCTCTTCTCTCCTCTACTTTCACACCCTATCCCCCATCCTTACCCTATCTCCCATCCCATCCCCATCCCCATCCCATCACAACCCCCCAAAACACCATCACAAAACCATATTCACACTCACACTCACACTCACACTCACACTCACACTCACACTCACACTCACACTCACACTCACACTCACACTCACACTCACACTCACACTCACACTCACACTCACACTCACATACTCACAAAATCATTACAGAAAAGCAGAAAAGAAAGAAAAAGTTACCATAAACCTATCATTCTATAAATATATAATCCACCCACCCATATATATCTATTCATCGCCCCATCCTTGTAATCATTCATGCCTTAACCATTCTCGCTCACTCCTCCTATACGACCCCCCCCCCCCCTTATACAACCACTCATACACCCCCCTCATACACCTCACAATGTCATATACAAACAATCAACCCATCATAAAAAATGAACCACTTTTTCCTAACCTTTCCTTCCCTTTCATTCCCCATCACCAATCCCCAAAAATCTACTACTCGTAATTTACTTACAATAAATATTCCATTCCCTTCCCTCCCCTTCCCTTCCCTTCCTTATACCTCAACCTATCTCAATAAACAAATATCCCAAGGCTGCCGTTTGTCTCATAAATATATATACGCAACGAAAAAGAAAACATTCCCTTAACGCCTTTGCCCAACGTTCTACTTTGTCTTGCTTTCGCAAACTACTTTAATTCTCTTCGTTAAAGAATAACGAAATTCATACCCCTAACCCAGATTTCGTACGATATAAAAAATATATCATATCGCCCAACTACCTCTTCTAGCTCTTACGCCCCAAGCACTAGGTGACGATGCACCATTTGACATGGAAGGATGTTGCCTCGCCCATTCCAGAATATATATTCGTAACGCTTTCCATCTAGCACCATAACCCCCTTCACTTCTTTCCCCATTAATAGATTTTCCTTTCTTCTCTTCTACATGTCCATCAACTGCCACCAAACCAATATGTCCTTTGATATTCTGACTCTTGTCATCTATTCTCAATTCTTCTTCTGGAATTTGAGAAATCTTTGCTAATTCTTCGTCATATTGTCGAGCTAAAGATGGATATCCGAGGGAAAGGTAATTGTAAACTTGTGTAACAAACGTATCATCAAACTCCTCCAACAACATATCTTCTGATTTTGACCTCGCAACCTCGGCTTTTAACCTATCATCGAGTCCACTTAGCATATGAACACCCCCCTTGTTTCTTTCCGATGATTTGGCAGGAACATTTGGCGCTGCATTTGAAAACGCGGAAGAAAACGGATCATCCATTTCTATATGCGGGGTTGCAATCATTTGTGGTCTCTTGACAACATCCGGACTGAGATATTGTTCATTTTCCTCGGCAATACAATAACCACCCCATAAACCACCTCCATCTTCGACTCGATGTGGCTGTACGTCATGTCGTTGATCGGATTCGAATTTTGTCGCCTTTGGAGAAGGACACATGCGAAAGACTAAATCACCACCAAGCATTGGAGGAGAGGCTGCGTTACGCATTCGAACCAATTCGGCTTCCTTTTGTTTATCTTGAGGAGTACCACTTGGTCGAGTTTTATCCGTCATTCCATTTGTCCAAAAAGGATCGTGAAATGTTGGGGCTGTGGCTTCCTCAGCTACCTTCTTATTGGTCTCCTCTTCTCTCAACCGATTCAAATTCTCCTGATGTTGTTGCATTTCTTTCGCTGCCCACCCAGCCTCTGCAGAATTTCTACGAAGTTCCTGAATATGTGCATCATCCACCAACATGCCTACACCTTCCACGGAATCTTCTTCGGAAGCTGTGTCGATCTCCCTATCGTAAAAATGTTCTACAATTTCGTAAGCAGACTCGTTGGGGAATGCCGCTAATGCTTGTTCCATGAGTTGTTTCTCGGCAGCTTTAGCAGCTAGTGCCAGGAGATAACCCGCAAATCTCTCATCACAACTTTCTCGCGTTCGTGCCATTTGCATCTTTAACATGGAATCTTCCGAAGATCCCAGCGAGCCAGATAAAGACGGTGTAGACTCGGCATCTTCATCCTCGTTCTCGGAATTCTCTTGTGAATTCTCATCCGAGTCTATGGGGTCTAATTCTGGTTGATAAGAATTCGATCGCGTGCTTTTTCTAGTATTATTGTGAGGGCGCATTGAGGGTTGTCGACGCGGTAGTGAAAGTGGAATGTGAGAATGGATATCTGCAGAAGAAGAAACTGGCGTGTTGTCGGGTGCTAAGGGGACTGGCATTGGACGTATATATTTTCGTTTTTTCTCTGCATAGATATGATTTGTACCCTAGAAACATTAGATACCGAGTAATTAGAGGAAAGTCAACTGCAAAGCATACCGGTGTGATATCAGTCTTATCAGTAGGTAAGGTAGCCGGGCCAGGAGTGGTAGATCTCTTGAACCTCTTTGACGTTTCTATTAATTGAGGTGTGAACCTTCTTCTCGGGGCCGGTGAATCTGCGGCAGCTGGAGCTTGTGATTTGGACTCGGGAGCAAGCTCTGGAGTTGGCAGAGGACTTGGAGATTTTGCTTTGCTCGACTTTTGCGTCGTTTCCACGGGTTCAGGCAGGAAGCGTCTCTTGGGCGGGGCAGCGGCAAAGTCCTTCTTTTCGATGGCATTCTCGACTTGCTCTACATTTTCTTTCTTATTACTTCTCGTCGTAGTTTCGACGGGTTCGACGGCAAACTTTCTCACTTTCTTCACCGTCTCCTCAATCGGAGTGGGATCGAATCGAGTTCGTGGTGGGGGTGACGTAGCTGACATGATTTTGAAGAGAATTGAGTAGTAGGAGGAAGAAATGGATATGATGAATGCCTAAATTTGTTATTATATCGATGGCATGCCAGAGTTCAATGAGAAAAGATTGAACGGATTGAACAGATTGAGGTTTGTGATGGAAAGTTCAATGGTGTGATGTGTGTTGTAGTGGTTTGTGGTTGTCATGTATTAGTAGATTTTATTATGGCCCTGGTCTATTTATCCAGCTCGTGAATGGCATTGCATACTAAGTAGGAATTTTGGGTTTGAGATGGGAAGTATGGTAAGAGATAGGATACCCAGTCGGTACTAGGGAGGATGAAGAATTGCAGAGGACTGACATAAGGTCGGTCTAGGAGGAAAGTTGATTGGATTGAGTGAGTTGAGTGGGGAGGGGACGGGAGGGGTGGGGAGGATTTAATCCTTGGTTTCTTCGTTCTAGAAGCGAAAATGTTCAAGAATGAGTGGAGTCGAGGTTGTGAGTGGAGTGAGTTTGATGGAGAGAGAGAGAGGAAGGAAATGGAATAAAATATCTGGCTCATAAGTACGTGGTATTGTGGAAAAGATAGGTATAAGTGAATAGATGGGTAGAATACCGAATCACGTGCGAATGTAGGTTTTGGAAGGTTCAAGTTGAAAAAGTAAATCCCCGCCATGACCAGGGGATTATGTATGAGTGAGTAGGTAGGTAGATGGTAGATGGTAGATGGTAGATATCTATGTATGACTGGGGGAGAAGGCCACATGTGACATCTAACAACTCATGAGATTTATTAGTTTCTTCTTATGTGTTTGTAGTTTCACATGGAAATCTATCTCGAGTATATGTACCGGTATTATATATTATATATCTAATATGTATCTAGAGATATATATCAGTATTACACATCATATATCTATTGTATATCTATATATCTATTATATACATATATATCAGAATAATTAGAAAAGTAAAAGAAACACCTATAAACTGAGGGGCTCAGATATCTTCCGTACTTGAATAACTACCTAGGTAGGTAGGTAATGATAATGATTTACCCATCGTATCTATGAATAGAATAATAGTAAAACCTTATTAATCATTTACTCATTCATTTCAATTAATCAATCACTCAATCAATCATTCCATTCATTCTATTCATTCCATTCATCCCATTCATTCTATTCATCCCATTCATTCTATTCATCCCATTCATCTCCATTCATTCCACTCAATATTCCCTATACGGTTACGAGACCAGGATGAGCGATACCAGATAATTCAATGCTAGCCCTGTATATATCAACCCCTTTCGACTCTTCAAATCCCTCTCAACCCAATTCCACATTCTACAATTGGGGCACGTGAGGAATTGGATGTATTCGAGTAACAGGAATAAGATATCAGATCTGGGTAGGTATGTATTCTATCTAGTATTAGTATTTCCATCTCCATTTCCATCTATCTACCCATCTACCCATCTACCTCTCTCTTCCACACATCATTTTTCCACACATCTTTTACCCTTTCTCGTCTTTCCTAAACCAGATATCCGGTTTACTTACCTAGTAATAGTTAATCACTTAATCACTTAATCACTTAATCACCTAATCACTTAATCACTTAGTCATTTAGTTAGTATAATTACTCGTACGGTTAGTATAATTCTCAATTCAGTTAGTAAGTATAGATAGATACCTAGTACATAGGTAGTTCGCTTCTATTAATCTATCAATCTATCAATCTACATATTTCATGCCTAGGTATATATATATACTATCGTATCCCATCTCATCTTGTCCCATCTCATCTTGTCCCATCTCATCCCACCCCATTTCATTTGATATGATAGGCAAATATCAAATATCAAACATCAAAACATAAAATCCAAAAAACGTACTTCTACATCTCTCCGCACCTCTCCATATCTCCATATCCATCCACCCATCCATCCATCACACCCCATCACACCCAAATCCCAAATCCCAAACCTCTCACGCGACCACAATCTCAAGTCCAGACTCCATCCAAATGCTCCATCTATCCATCCAAACACCAATAAACACCAATAGGTAAACATTACACATACATACATACACACATACATACATACCATTCACCGTTCACCGTTCACCGTTCACCGTTTCTTCACAATCCATCCATTCCCCCCATCACACACTCAAGAATCCAACGCTCACAACTCCCAAGTCCTACCATACCATACCCTATATACATCAATTGATTCACCTAGAGTACCTCTGCATGCATATATGCATGTCTCACAATTTCTTTTCCCACCTTCTTTACTTTACTACAATCATACATACATACATTGTCAATCACTTCACATAAATATGTGGATCCACCATACTTATTCTCACACACACGTACATACATACATACATACATTGAACAATCCAAAATCAGTCGAATATTATCATTATATTGAATAGAATTCAATTCCCATTACAGACCCAACTTCACACGCCTATCAATCATATAAGACTTAGATGGCTGCAAATGAATCCCGACGCCATTTCCTCTTCTACCTTATGCTCCCTATTTGTATAATATCAAAATAAATATAACGAATGAATGAACAAACAGTCAATCAAATAGATGAATCGATGCAAAAACCCGGCACTATACATGAGCCAAAATATCTGATACAACTACACATGCGAAGTGTAGATTTGTGCAAAGAGGACCTTGAAAAGTCGAAACAATACACAAATGAGTCGGAGAGACTCGAACAGAATAAATCTAACAAAGATTGAGAAAAGAAAAAAGGATCTCCTGTCGCAAGGTCAATCATTTCTCCTTTATCTGTCTTGGTAATCCAGCTGCTCTCCTCATTTGAATGTCTCCCTCGGCCAACCATCGACTAGCTTTGACCAATTGTACGACATTGATGATTTGTTTTCCTGCCATGATGGGGAATGAGATTCCGGCAATGATCCATGGCCAGGTGGAATCCATCTTATTTGCGCGTGCAAGTTCCAATGCGCCGGCGCTGTAGGGATTAGCGAAGAGGGATGCGGCAGATGGATTGGAGGGGCTTCCGGGGACGAGTGTGCTTGCTGCTTCGCCATTGTCGGTAACTTGGAGGAGAGATGGTGAGAGCAGAGGAGAGGAGAAGGAAAGGAGGTAGAGGGCGATGAAGAAAATTTCGTTAAGAGCACAGAAGAGGAAGAGGACAGTCTATCATCTTTTGTTAGTTTACATCGTAGAGATTCATACACAGATGTACATACCTTGTTTGTGTAATACAAGTTCAAAATCCAACTGCGAGATTTGTCGACTTGCTTATGACTGGTATCTCCTCCTCCCATAACAAGAGTCGCATACATGTGAATGTAATGACTAGCCAAATCCAACGAGATGAGTCCTTGGAAAAGCAGAGCCCATCGAGGCCAGGCGGAAGAAAGAAAGACCAGCAAACAGGCGGTGGTACAACGATCGGTCACCATATCCAATACCGCACCAAATTTTGTAGATTGTTCAAAGTAGCGGGCAGCATATCCATCGAGAGCATCGAGAAGGCAGGAGATACTGTAGAGAAGAGTGCAGGTACGTGGATGAAGGGGCATATAGTATAGAGATACCAATGCGAGAACGATTCGAAAGTATCCTATGAAGGATTAGCATGCGCCATTCCATTCGCATATAGATTTGAGGAAGCTTACCGATAACATTGGGCCAGAAGAGAAAGATGTTTTCCTTAACATGCACAGCCTCTTCCGACTTGTGTGCCGAACCATTACCATTGCCATTCATGATGACTTGTTCACGAGCTGCGGGCGTGGGAGTTGATGGTGAAGAAGCGGCAGCTGTTTGTCGTCTGGTTTTAACACTAGACATCGTTTTGTATTGATTGAGAAGCTTCCAACTCAAAGATCTTATGTGCTGAAAAACGTTGTGGTGTGAACCGCAATGTTGTATTGAGTTCGACTCGAGGAAATGGTTGATGTGGAGGTTTTTGAGGAGCTGTTTCGAGGTAGGCAAAATTTGTTAACTCGGTAGGTACCAAAGCTTCGGATTAATAGAACCTCTTTTAATTACAAGATGATGTAATAGAGATTTTGGGATATGGGAATGAAAGAGAAGCTTCAAGGTCGAATGTGGAAAAGGAAGATGGTTGTTTGGAAGTTTGATTGATTATCTTGAAAGGAATGTTAGAGAATCTACTCGTAGAGAATTTAGAGAATGGGTAGAATGGTAAGATGGTAAAATGGGTGAGATGGGTAGAAAGTCAGGAAGCAAATCTCTTATCGCAGGTTTACTAAAAGATTTGTAGCAGTACTTCTTCTCTACAATAATACTGTACGAGTATGCATGCATGCAAGCCAAAATAATAACAGGATCTATGGATAGGGCAATCAATGAAAATGTGTGTGTTTGCAGCTGCCAGCATCAATACTGCTCGGGAAGGACGACTAGGTACTACGAGTAGATAGATAGGGATTATTATTAAAATTCAATGACATGGATTAAAACCCCCTTAACCTTACACTCGGAAGTGTCGGGTCTAATGAAAAACGGTTCGTTCACCAGTTCTCCCAGTTGTAAGATCTTATCACTACTAGGTAGGTAGGTAGGTATATTCATTATGATTCCTCTATCACGTGTACAGACTTCCAGGCCAGGTTCAAACGAGGGGCTACGGTGACCCAAATTGCGGAAATCATCGGTTACTCGATTATTCACTGATAGCTGTCTGTGAAAGCTTCATTTGGACAATATCAACCATCACCTCTCATCTCTTACTGCTTGAATTATTGGAATCAATCTTGGATACAGAAGCTTCTATATAACTTCAATAACCAACGACATATTACACATCCATCTCCAAAATGTTAATCCAAGAAACGCACCATGATGTTCCGACAAAAGCGGGAGGAAAAGAAGGATCGATGAGTACAGCTTGATTACCCCCCTCCTCAACACAAATCAATCCCCGCTAATCATATCTAGGAATCTTTCTCTTCCATCCGACCATTCCAAACTACCCTCAAGCGTGTGTAGTGCAATCTATCCTACTATCTACCAAAGTTCAAAGCTGAAGCCTTTTATCACATATAGACGATTTCCCGGTGTTGTTGTTTTCAGTGAGATTTATCAAGGTTAGTGGGGGTTTGGTGGGGTGTTTCAACGTTCTTAATCTGTATATCGCTTCATGTCATATCATTGGTCTCCATTGACCTTCTCATACCCTTATCAGAGAGATGGATTTTCAAGTGACAACTCATCGGTTGGAGTCCCATGAGGCTTGCTCAAGGGCCCATGTCTTCCTGCTTCCTTATCTTACAACCCCGCACTCACGTGCTACATATAAATAAGCAAGAGTACATGCTGACACTCTCCTCATCAAAGTCACTGGGCCAGTTGCCCGATTCGCAAGACAGATCGCTGGACAAGGCTATATTGTTGCAGCACCTTCATCATACCATGAGTTTACCGGCCCAGAACCCCTCGCTTATGATGTTCCTGGAACTGATGCTGGCAATGAATATAAAATCACCAAGGTATGTTCCTTCCAACATCAAATGTCTAGATCACAACTTTAAGCCCCTACATATCCGAGTTCAATTTCTCCTAGACCATTCTCTAAATCTTCATCCATTTCTCACCACATTATCCACAGACCCTCGAAGCCTACGATGAAGATTCCACCTTAACAATCGACTACCTTCTCTCCCTCCCTACCTGCAATGGCCGCATCGGCAGCACAGGAATGTGTCTCGGCGGCCACCTCGCCTACCGCTGTGCTCTCGACCCTCGTGTCGCCGCAACAGTAACTTATTTCGCCACTGATCTTCACAGCGCAACTCTCGGTCTCGGCAAAAAAGATGACAGTCTCGCTCGTGCCTCGGAAATCAAGGGCGAACTGGCCATGATTCATGGATGCAAGGATAATCATGTGCCTCCTGAGGGAAGAGATCTTATCAGACAAACTTTAAGAGAAAAGGGAATTGTATTCAGTTGGTATGAGGTTGCGTGGGCTCAGCGTTAGTTTTTATTCCTCAATATCAAATATCAATTAATGCTAACACAAAACACAAGACGCATTCATCCGCGATGAACTATCAAAAGGTCGCTACGACCCCGCCATCTCTAAGATCTGTTTCGAGATCCTCCTTGAACTCTTCGGACGAACACTCAAATTGGATCTCGGACCTCATGATGGAAAGGAACAGAAGATAGAAGATATCTGTTAGTTGTCATATACACTTACTTGTATCAACATCTACATCTAAGCGATGAGATATAGAATATATGAATTTTCTTAAAATCTTGATTGAAGGAATATTCCCCTTCACTGCTGTGACAATTTTATTCAATCATTAAAATAGCTAGCCATCTATAAAATATCCATTCATCTATCTGCCTACTTATTTGCCCCATCCTCCCATCTCAATGTCCATCACCATCTAGATCTTAGATACATAATAACGCAACATAACCCTCTCTCATACACTCTCACTCAAAGTCAGGATATCTATCCAACGGATAGTCCAATAGTCCAAACTACAATCCAATAATATAAAAACATGAATATCTAGGTATCTAAAACACTTGGAAACATAAAAATTTATAAATAATTCAATATTCCCAATTGAATCAAGTCAAATTCAAATCAAATTCAACATCTCACAAAACATAAATCTCCCAATAGCTTTTAGATATCTAAACTCTCGTATTATTGTAGGATTGGATTGTATTATAATTCGAAGTATTGGATTATGGCATACTGTGCAGTTTGTGAGTTGGAATCATCCTTTTTTTTCTGTATGTATATATGCTCTCTTCTATGTTTTCTCTTGTACACTCACATACGCATACACTCACATACGCATACCGCTATACTTTAGATCCCACCATCTATCTATCTAATCTTAGAAATCGATTGTTATCTTCCTCTTCCTCTTCCCCTTCCTCTCCATCACCCAAACACAGAGATACAAAACACTATGAAAAATCTACAATCCCATAATATCATACATACATACATACATACATACATACATAGGATTGAGCCACCTACCTACCTATACCTACCCACTTACACACATGCGCAGTACAAAGAAATCTCATATAATCCACAAATAAAAACACATACCTACACATACCTACACATACATCTCACATACATCTCACAAAACATCAGAACCAAACAACCCTTCACATCCAACCATAAAGTATTAAATCTCGCTATTAAATAGGTAACCAACCCACTCACTACCTACGAATCCACATCCACCATATATAGATACGTATATAAACCCATCGCCATCGCCATTGCACTCTCCTCATCTCACTAGCTCACCCCTCCCGAGTGCCAGATAGTTATATCAAAGCCCTAACCAACCAACCAACCAACTAATCAAGCATCTAAATAACCCATGCCATGCCATCCCAACCTCTCCATCCCAAATTCCAATTCCAAATACCTAATTTCCCATTCCCAAGATTAAAGAACTTGCACAATCAATCAACCAACCCTATACGCCACCAAATGCACATTCCATATCCTACGCTATGCTTTCCACCCATATTCAATCTTGCAAATTCTTCTCCCCTCTCCCCCGAGAAACCTCAAGCGAAGGAAGAAAAGAAGGGGCTCAAAATAGGTATATCTCGCAACTATCGATCGAACGCTAGATAGTTTGCAAAAAATCCAAAGTCCAGATTCAAACTCAATTCAAAAAATGCAAGAAAATTTCAAAAGCAATGATGAAACGCCAACTATAAATGCTGCATCCATGTGTATCTATCTATAAAATTCCATCCATTCCTGAGATATGGGTTTGTATCCATCCTTGCACTCCCTGAAATCCAAAAGTCGAAAGCTGAAAATGATGAAAGAAGAAAATTGAGATGGGAAAACAAATGAAAAAACTCGGCTGGATCAAAGAGTGTATTTGATTTAATGCATAACGCTTTGTCTCCATCGCTCCACCATATCAACTTGTCCCTGATTAAGCGGTTCACCACCAGGTCCTGTAGTCAGGCCAGTAATGGGGTTTGTGTGAATATTCTGCATTTGCATTTGCATTGGCATCATGTTATTATAGCCGCCCATGGGCATGTTGTTTTGATAGCCCATATTTGGGTATGCATTTCCAAGTTGTGTCATGGAGTTATTGAAGTTGTTGTAGTTCATAGTTGGTTGAGCGAATTGTGGGTAGCCGCTATTGGGAAGTGCGCTGTTGTGAAGGTTGTAGTTGGAAGTATTTGGTGGTCGGATTGTATTAGGTTGCCCATGAGATTGTGGGTCGTTGTACGTGCCACTTTTAACTCGAGTACCACGGGGAGCCATATTTTGTTGAGTGACGAGGTTAGTCATTGTGCTAGCTCTTCGCTGAGTTTGCTTCTCGTGCAAGCCGAGGAGACCAGTAGCTGGTCGGGATGGTTTGGCAAATGATGAATTTCGACTTGCGCCAGCGGCCGGGTGAGCCGAGAGGATGTCAGCCATACTGTTCATTTTGTTGATTACCAAAGGTTCTGGAGTCGCTTCAGCATCACCGGCCGTGCCGACTTCTTTTTCACGAGCTTCCTTCTCTGCCTGGAGACGTTTACGTCTCTGGCCTAAGGTTTCCTCTTCTTCATTGACTGGAGTGGTAGAAACTTCCTTTCCTTTGCCCTTGCCACCATCAACATTCAAAATGTTTCCACCGAATTGACTCATCATCTCAGATGCAAAATCACCGCTAACAGGTCTCGTAGCTGGAAGGCCAGTTGCTGTTCCTCCTTGTTCTTTCAGACGTCGAATGCGTTGTGCAAGTGTCTCTCCTTCATCTTCGTCCACAACAGGAGTGCCTGTAGGAATGTGCATCATGGTAGTAGCTCGAGGCATTGGCATGGGTTGGCCTGTTAATCGAGCTCTGCGTCTACTGAGTGGCTCGTTGTCTTCTAATTCACGTTTTTCCATTAAACCAAGGGGCCTGCGTGTATCTTGAATGTGAGACCTCGTTACATTTAACATGGCCAAGGGAACATCTTCATCTTCTTCGGCATCAGGATCCTCATTGTCTCCAAGTTGCCACGCTAGATTAACCCGTTTTTGTTTCCTGGTTTGTTGTTGCCTTTGTAGAACTGTGTCCATCTGGAGTAATGTAGACTGCATGCCATTAACACTGAGAGGTGGTCTAGTTCGAATTTTCTGTTGTTGCTTGCGCAACTGTAACTCGGCAAGAAGTGTGGTTGGTGGACCGTGGTAAATTTCATCGTCCCTTTGACCTTCATCCTCTTCACTTTCTACTTCACCTTCCTCCGCTCGTATGAGATCAGTAGCACCACTAACCCCGCGTGTGTGTCGTAAAGGTGTTGTGTCTTTGTTATTAATGTCATCCTCGTCATCCTCAATAGGAGACCTTGTTGCCTTTCTTTCTACCTGAATATTGGACATTGTAGAAGCACGCTTGCCATCTCCAAGTAAATTATTGCTACTTGACCGACGGCCCAATAGAAAGTTGAATGAGCTTGTTCGTTTCTTTGAATTGTCTTGCTTCTCCGGTGTCGGTGCCAGTAATTGAGCGCTACTCTTGTTGCGTTGGTGTGTTTTTCCGTACACCTCGTTTCCTAGATGTCCAGCAATTGCATGATCAACAAATGCGGTGACAGGAGCATGAGCAGATGCATCCAAGATACTATCCAGAGTAGCAACAGCCGATTGATCTTTTAACTCCATAGCCTCGGTTTGCCCCGGTGGGAGCTCAAAGAATGCGTTTGCTCTTAGGTGGGGAGGCATATGCGACAAATCCTGTGTATTTCTTCGTCCACCCATGCTCATTCTCTGATGCTGAGGAACATATTCTAGATTTTGCGCGTCATCATTTTCATGTAGAGGCTCGCCATTCGTCTCCAACACATCGGGTAACCAAATAGCTGATTGCCGAGCAGCAGCTGGAATATTGCTGAGAACTTGCGATCTTCTCTTATTCCTTGCCATAGAAGATGGATTCTTGGAGAGTTTCTGGGGCAAATTGAGCATCATGGGAACTCGTGCTGGGTAGTAAACCATCTGCTGCCCAGTACTTGGATCAGCATATGTTAGCGGCCTAGCCACCGACTGCCGATCACCAGATACTACTCTTCTCTGGTCATTGTCCCCTGGCAAAAGCTGTGTACCAGATGAGTATCTCCTCTGATCATCATGTAGCTCCTCGGGCATTCCGGATGTAGCTCTCTGTTGTTCCTCCATGATGAATTCGTGATCAAATGATGTTCTCAAAGGTGCAGAATGGACTCCATCGAAATCCGCAAACATTCGCTCTGCCTGGTCAAACGTGTTGGTTGATGTTGAGGTTTGAGGTCGAGCTTCATCAACCTGGCCTGCCATATTCTCCGCCGCATTTTCTGTGCCGAGATTGTCGACTGTTGGTCGTGTCAAGGTCGCAGAACGTTCATCTTGCTCTGCGATTGAAGGCGTTCGATGGTCGACCAGTGAGGGAAAAGACATGTTAACAAATGAATCCAACGGTCTTCCTTCTAACTCTGGTTCTTGTCGATTTCCCAATCTCGAGCTCTTCGACGCCGATCTCCCTCGCGTAGTGGTAGAAAAGGAACCCTTCGGGGACATCATATACCCTGCAGGTGAATACCCCCCGGATCTTGCTGCATTGTTCAATTCGATGATGGAGCCGGGGTTGGAAACTTCTCGTGAGACTTGTGGCATTTCGTTGAGCTGCGACAGGATGGATGACCGGCGACTATCAGAACGCTTCTGCTCCATATGGAGTTCCCGAATCGCATCATCGATGGAGGAAGTCATACTCAATCGTTCTGCTGTCTTTTCCAATTTGTCAATATTCCCTACATAAGCTCCTTGCAGCGTTTGTAAATCGGGTGTCGGGTGCCGTAACGCAATGCTGTGACCTGATGCTGTACGAACAATCGGCGCACGTTCTTTCGATAATATTGCACGAGGTGATATAGGAGAAGTCGTATTGTTGGACGACCCTGTAGCTGTATTATTTTGGGGACGGGGCCGTGGAATGCTCAAAACTAGGGGTTTCTCCGGTGTAGTTCCCTCTCGCGATGTGACGTTCTTCCTTTCTGGTGATAGCGCCAGTGAAGGAGGGGATGTTGGCTCTCGTTCTACCTCGTGCTCTTCGTAATCGTCGTCTTCTACAATATCATAACTCCCACTCGTTTTTGTGCTCTTCGAAGTAATCGATTGTACCATTTGGCTGAGACTCGGTGTATTTTCTGGAGAATATGCTTGCCCGTGGCTCGTATCGCTATTTTGCGCATCTAAAAATAGATGATTTGATGACAATCGTTGGAATGGAGAATTGGAGGCAGTAGAGTTTATTTCATGATCACCGTCATGGTCCCCATCAAAATCATTTTGATCAAGAGCATTATAAGCCATAATGGGCAAAA